TCATGTGTTTTCGGTCTTTACGGTATGCCAGATTAGCAGTATCATGTGTTTTCAGTTTTTAACGATATGCCAGGCTAACAGTATCACGTGTTTTCAGTCTTAACACTATGCCAGATTAGCAGTATCATGTGTTTTCGGTCTTTACAGTATGCCAGATTAGCAGTCTCATGTGTTTTCGGTCTTTACAGTATGCCAGATTAGCAGTCTCATGTGTTTTCGGTCTTTACAGTATGCCAGATTAGCAGTCTCATGTGTTTTCGGTCTTTACAGTATGCCAGATTAGCAGTCTCATGTGTTTTCGGTCCTCACGGTATGCCAGATTAGCAGTATCGTGTTTTCGGTCTTTACAGTATGCCAGATTAGCAGTGTCATGTGTTTTCAGTCTTCACAGTATGCCAGATTAGCAGTATCGTGTTTTCGGTCCTCACGGTATGCCAGATTAGCAGTATCGTGTTTTCGGTATTCACGGTATGCCAGATTAGCAGTGTCATGTGATTGTAGTTTTCATGTTAAGGTAGGTTAACCCTGTGGAACTGAAGATGATGGGTTTCTGTTCTTGTTGGGTCAGCCACAAAAATAGATGAGCATGATCATCTACTGATGAAGGTTTCCTCTCTCCTCTTCCTCCTGTAGTGCTGATAGAGATGCAGGATGAAGAGTTCAGGCAGAAGAACTACCCAGGTTAGAACGTGCACACGTCCACACTTGGAGAATGTCTAAACTGGTTTAGGTATCTGGACTTCCTACCATTAACAGGAAGCAGAAGTGTCCCAGCTCAGTGGACAGGTAAACATCTTGTTGTTTCAGAGGCCAGCCTGCCAGGTGAAGATATGGTTGATGACAACAAGAGCTGTCACTGTGAGTTCGTCCCTCAGGACCTGACACCAGGATTAAAGGTCACCATAAGAGCCATCTGGTACGGTTTCTGTCAAAAACTCACCTGATTTACCTGCCAACCATTCATCGCTTTACTCACTCTTTATTTGCTGTTTTTTATAGACTGATTCTGTTTTTTATTTACACTATTTTTATTTACTTATTTTTTTATTTATGCTCACCTCAGGGTCAAAGGTCTCCATCAGCTGTTGGGTAAGAGCAGTCAGTCCGACATCATTTAGCTTCATTGTTTTTGTTGTTTCACTGTGTTCTGTCACTTTCACCTGAAGTAAATAAGTACATTTTATGTATACAGTACCTTTCAAGGTAGAAATCACAGGTGCTTCACTTCCAAACACAGTAACTGAAGATGCAAGTTTCAATAAAAGCAAAAATATTAAAAGCAATATGTATCTCTTATAAAAGACAACACAAAAATAATACTACTCAAAGACTAGTCTAAAAAATTTAGTCCTTTGCAGTTTTTTAAATAAGTCCATTAAGTCCACAGAATGTAGTTGGAAGAACAGAGCTACAGAGTCAGAGCGACAGCTGCAAAGACTCTGTCCCCTTCAGATTTGAGTCTTGATTTAGGGACAGATAAGAGTTCTTGATCAGTGGACCTCAGGGTCCTGGTGGTGATATGCAGTCTTAAAAATTCAGAACTTTATGGAGGTGCTTTACCATGCAGAAGTTTGAAGGTCCAGACCAGAACTGAGTTCTGTTTGGAACAGGAACAAAGATCTGTAAAGCACCTGGAGACTTGATCAGAAATGTAGCAGCTGCGTTTTGGATGAGCTGCAGAGGATCCATGGAAGCTTTACTAAGGCAGCTGATTACAGAAATCAGTGGGGGATAAATGTTTGATTGTCTATGAGGGACCAGTGGAAATGACACTCAGTTTACAGTTCCTTGGCTGAAAAAAAAAAACTTTATCAGTATTAATATTATTGCTTGTTCATCTGTAGAAGCTCTCTGGTCCTCTCAGTTTCAGATCACAGGTTCTTGAGAGCATTAGTTCCAGTCTGAACTAATAACCAGTATTTGCTGTTCCAAATCTGGTTCTGGATTATTTCTGTAATTTAATTCAGGTCTTAAACTTGGATCAGACTCAGAAGTATTGAGTTAGTATGAAAAAAAACAAGCTTTTGTTTGGGGTCAAAAACGAAATTATGGACAAGAGTTTCTACCTTATCCTCTGTCTCCTCCTCGGGGTCATGATCCATCCTTCTCCTCAGTAGGTCAGTGAGGTTGAGTTCAAACACCCTTCATCTAATTTTGTTGGTTTCTACTCAAACCGTTATCTTAGTTGTGGTATGCAGTGGAGAAACAGTTCTTGATTTCAGTAGACTGCAGACAAATGTGGTCCTGTAAGACCGGCCCCAATTAGATACCCCACATCATCCTGACAGTATCCCAGTCCACTGACTACTGGCCTTTTGTCATCCTCAGTATCATGCGATTCATGGTTTCAAAGAGGAAATTTAAGGAGAGTCTTCGTCCCTATGATGTCATGGATGTGATCGAACAGTATTCAGCTGGTCACCTGGACATGCTTGCCCGCATTAAAAATCTTCAGGCCAGGTTAGAAATCTAATGCTAGTAAACGTTACTTTTTACTCCTGTCCTCTGCCCGTGACGTTTTTTATCTGGACTGGCAGGGTGGATCAGATTGTTGGGAGAGGAACACCAATCGCAGACAAGGACCGTCCTAAAACAGCTGGGGAGGAGCTACCTGAGGATCCAAGCATGATGGGACGTCTAGGAAAGGTGGAAAAACAGGTAATCTATAACAGAGGTTCTCAAACTGGGGTCCCAGGATCCCCCAGGGGTCCACGAGCTGTATCTTGGGAGTTCTCAAAAGTTTCAATAAATTGTTAATTTGGTTTTTATTTTAAAAAAAGGCTTATTGAGAACTATGCACTAGTCAAACAAACATACTAAACCAAACCAAACAAATAATATTCTCATGGCCTTTAGGGGTTAAAATGACAGTGAACTATTTTTAAAACAGCCTGGGGTCTATGAGGGGGTCCCTGGTAATTTTTCATCCTTGCAAGCGGTCCCCAGAACCAAAACATTTGAGAACCCCTGATCTAAAAGGCTGAGTTCCCTTATTCTGATCCTTTTTCAGTTTGAAATCAGACCCATTCGTTGTTGGTGTTGTGTTCTTTAGGTCCTGTCCATGGAGAGGAAGTTAGACTTTCTGGTAAATATCTACATTCAAAGAATGGGAATCCCTCAAGCTGAGACCGATGCCTACTTTGGATCCAAGGAACCAGACCCAGCCCCTCCATATCACAGTCCTGTGGATCAACTAGAGAAGAGCCATTCCATCTCTAAAATCCTGCAGTGAGTGTCCTGGGTTTCTGGAAAACCAAAACAAAACAGTACCCTTTACTAAAACCACAAACTGGACCAGGAGAGGTTCCAACGTTGAGGTTATTGCCCAAACTGATCCCTTCTTTAAAGAGATGCTGGTGCGAATCTTCAACCTGTTGTTGACATGTTCACTTGCTGAACTTCTATTGTTTCCATGCAGGGTGTTGCCTGGTGAGCACATGGAGAGGACCCGCTATGTGACAAAGATGGTCCGTTCCAGCAGCTCAACTGGACATCAGAACTACACAGCTCCCACCTGCCCACCCTCCACATCCTGGCAACCAATCAGCTCCCAGCTTCATCAGCAGGCTCGGCCACCTCAACACGGCAACACACCCAGCCCGGTGGGGGACACGCCGCTGGTCCGACTGCCCCCTCCTCCTGCTGGAGAGAGACACAATGGGAACCGATCGAACCGACACAGCACTGGAGAGCGAGGGGGTTCTGAGAGGCAGGAGACAGGTGGGCCTGGAGCAGGGGGCGAGGTGAAGCCTGACAGCGACACTTCCATCTCCATCCCATCGGTGGACCACGAGGAGCTGGAGCGCTCCTTTAGTGGCTTCTCCATCTCACAGTCCAGAGAGAACCTGGACTTCCTGAACACTGGATTCTACTCCTCTGCTGGTGTCGGGGAGCAGCAGGGAGGGGGCGGCTCTGCCGGCCCACCCTACATCGCAGAGGGAGAGTCCGACTCTGAGTCTGAGCTGTGTGCGCAATCGCCTCACTCCGAGCGGGCCTGGACCGGAACCAAGTAAAAACAAGGTCATCCAGATGTGGTAAATGGACTGAACTTATAGAGCGCTTTATCAAGTCCTTCTGGACCCCAAAGCTCTTCACCCTCACACTCACCCATTCACACACTGATGGTGGTAAGCTACACTGTAGCCACTGCAACTCTTTATATAGAGGGATGGATAAATCGCAGATTCAGCGACTTCAAATGATCCAGAATGCAGCAGCACGGCTTCTCACAGGAACCAGGAAGCATGACCATATAAGGCCAATTCTGGCATCTTTACACTGGCTACCCGTYTTTTATCGAATAGATTTTAAGATTCTTTTGTTAACTTTTAAAGTTTTAAATGGGTTAGCCCCCCCTTATCTTCGGGACCTTTTACATTTCCAGTCTGTG